GGAAGCCAATGGGAACGCCACCGTTTTGAGTCCCAGTCCCCTTATTTTGACACATACCCATATAAATTATAAAGGGGGCGGTTGGTCAAAGAAATCTGCACGAATCCGTCCCACCCCCCAATCAGCGAGCTCAGCACAAGTCATGAGTGGGAGACTGGGTCTCTCTGCATGGCACCCGCCTCTTTCTTGGGGCAGTTTCAAGCTGGAATCTTTGTCGGGTACGCGCAAAAAAGGGCTAGTTTACAACGGAAACAAAGAGGCAAGCCACTTTTTGGGAGGTCCGCTTGGTGCAACCTGTATCTCACTTGCCCTAAAAAGCAGAAGCCAGATCCACAGAAGCCTGTCAAACCGTTTGGGCGATTCAAAAGCAACAGCCAGGGTCCACTCCAGGGCTACAAGGCAGACCTTTAGGTTCTTTTTTGTGCCTAAAACAAATTGGGGGCTGCAACCAAGCACCCACTTTCGGATGCTTAAAAGGAATTCCGAATAGAACCAACCACGAGGGTCGGAATGAATGATCTGCTGAACCGAAAAGCTCGCAAACCCCTCCAAAGACACCTCATTTTGGGCCCGGGCAACCCCTTTGTGTGTTCCGAGTTGACAAAATGTGCAGCTGCTTTGCCCAAAAAGTAGAGGAACCACACATTACGCTGTTCACCTCTAGCACGGGCCTTATGCGTGCCGCTATCTGGTGCCCGTGCAGTTATAACTCACCAGAGAAAGGGCATGGGAGCAGTGAAACCGGCTAGTTTGTGTAGGAAAAGTTTTTTTTCCAAGGAATTTAGTTTGATTTTTTTGGAGAATCCCGAGACTCTTCAAAGCACCACATTGGTGCTACTGGTACCTTAATCGCGAAACGGTGCATCCTTTACGCCGCATAAGGATTAGTGCCAAAATGGGAGGATTGCCCAGCTCCACTGGGCAGCTCCCCTCAGCAGCTGATGGGAGTAGAATTGATGCCACTCCCACAGCGAGGGAGGAATCCTCCCACCTCACCGGATGCCCTCCCGGCATCATGGGTGAGGAAGGAAAGTAGCGAAGATCAGCTTGATCAATTCGCTTTCGACTGAGGGGAAGACCCGGTTCTCAGTCGGAAATTGCGGGTCCGGATGAGTAAGTTCATCCGCCCATGTGTTAAAGTCGCGCTTCACATGCGACGGTCCTAACATGACCTGGTGGTCATGCAGTGTTAACACAATTTCCATGAGGATGGCCGCATTGGGCATCCTGCGAGTGGAATCGTTAAGCAGGGAGAAAACGTTTCCCTGGTTATCACTAGCAACCAGAATCCTAGTGTGAGAAGCCGAGCCGGCTGCACAAAGCAGAACAGCCCTCACCAAAAGGAGGAGGCCGAAGAGCTCCAAGGCCGCTATCGCCCGCTGCGGGTCCCCAGTAGTGAAGGCCCACGGCTCGCCCTCCGGTGTGATTCTGTGTTGGAACCACTTCACTCGGGACTTGTCGGGGTTGGGCACGTCCGAGCACCAACCACCAACCCATGCATGGTCCGCCTGTTTGCCAGCTCCCGCATCAGATGCCCCCGTCCATGGAAGTGTGGGAGCAAATGGAGATGCCAGTGGGAACCTCTGGTTGAAGAGCTTCCCCAGAAGGATGGCCAGAGCACGAACCAGCTTCGGTGGCCTGCCCGAAGTGGTGCAGGCCTTCTTCCAGCTCCAAAAGGGCTGGAGGAAAGGTTTCGTCAATGGACACGCCGAAGTAGCCCATTGAATCCGGCCCAGGGCTTGTTCCACCTCCTTGCTGGTAAAGATGTCCCCCTGGGCCAGCCGTTTGAGAGTGGCCAGGATTATGACGTGCTTGACTGGAGCCAGCAGCACACAGGGCGTGATTGGGTCCACCACGAATCCCAACCAGGTATTGACCGGGGAGAGCGCCGTCTTCTTCCAAGAAAGCGGGACTCCCAGCGCCAGAAGAGTGGCCAGGATGGCTGTGGCGTCCCAGTCCGCCCTGCTGCATCTGAGGACCCAGCAGTAGTCGTCCACAAAGACTAAGTGCCAGTCCACCTGAGGGAAGATGTAGTACAAGAGTCTGAGCACCAAGGATGCCTTTCTTCCCCAGTACAGTTGTGCCGAGGCCATGCCGTACGTGCCCACTCTATTGACCCACCACCGGTTCTGGATGCAGGCCACCTGGTATTTCCAGTCTTTCTGGAGCACTTTTATGCGCCTGTGGGCCTTGGTGACATCCGCCTTGAGGATGATGAAGGTTTCCCCCTGTGTCGGCGGCTGCCACGTCAGGGGTTCCCCCCTGCTCCCCCCAGGGCGTTCCGTGCCTGGGGTTGGGGGGAATGGGGCCCTCCTAAGGGTGTTGACCGCGGAGAGACGTCCAGGCCGCCGGAGGTCTCCATCATCCGCCTGCCCCTATCAGCGCCCTCGGCACCTGGGGGCAGGCTGGTGCTGTGGGGGTCCCTCTCAGGGCCCTCGGCACCTGGGGACTGCCCCTGCACTGGCTGGTGAACATCCCGAGGTTCCTCATCAGTGCCCGAGGGTGGGGCTCGGAGTAGATGAGGATGGTCCGCCGCTGTCCTGAGCCAGTGGATGGCATGGAGGCAGTCTCCAACCATCGGTGCGGTGGTCTTCTCCTCCGTGTGAGCCTGGATGTGTGCGTTTGCTCCCCCTTTTGAGCCATCATAGATCGTCCTGATCTTGTCCGACTCATCAATCCCTGCAAGGGGGCCCGGGCAAAGTTCCTCCGGTTTGCAGCGGCACCTCTCTGCCGCCTCGGAGCGAGTGAAGGGCCCGTCCACCATGTCCAAGGCTCGTTCCTCGTAAAAGGTTGATTCGATTTCCTTGGCAAAGAGTTCAGCCGTTGGGTAGTTATCATGAGCCACTGGCGGGGGGGGATCTTCCCCCAGCCAGGCTTCTCCCTTAAGCTCCTCCTTAGTGGGCCAAACTCCCGGGGAGGTCAAGGTAGGGTCCGAGACTCCCAAGGGGACCCCCTCTTTCAGTGTTAGGGGGAACTCCCAATCAGGGTCACCTGAAAGGGATGCCAAGTGCGACACTAAGTCCAGGAGGAAGGGTTGTCCTGGGCATCGTTCATGGAGGTGCCTCGGTCCTAGGATAGCCCGCAGCTCCTCGAGGTCGGCTTCCTGGAAGGGGTGTGTGGTGGCACCTGATGCCAGGGACATTCGGACCTTGTCAATCCAGGGCCGGGTAAGGGTCATGATCAGGGCGCCCAAAGTAGCCAATGGGGAAATTCTCCGAAAAGGGGGGTTGAGCCTCCCTGGGGAAGGTTTTCCCCCCCCATCCCTCAGGGGGCGTGAGCGGAAACCCAATTGGACAATCGCCACCCGGTCAGTGAGGTGTGGGACCCTGAAAGCGGGCAGGCATTCGGGGCGGTCCAGGACCTGGTCCCCCTGTCCCTCCTTCCCCAGTTGTTCCGCATCTCCGGCCATCGGGGGCATGGGAGATGGGAAGTCTGGGTTCATTGTTCCACGAGGGCTTACGGTGTCTGCCTCAGGGTGGAACTGCCCGTGCAGGCGGGGCTTCGGGGCGTTCTTGCCTCCGGGCTTTGAGCCCTGGTGTGATGAGGAGGGACCGCCTCCTTGACTGGGCCCCCGTTTTCCCCGGGGGGAATGGCCTTCCGGGGGGTCCGACCCCCGCCCCTTAGGTGGTTCCTTGGGGTTTCCCGGAAATTGTGAGGGGATCCGGATGTGCCCCGGCGCTGCGAGTGACACAGCGATGGCTTTGGCCAGGCCTGCCATCATATCCCAAGGGTATCTGCTAAGAGTCGAGGACTCGTTGGTGCCCACATGTGACTGATGCGTGCACCGCATTTGATCCCAGTCCTGGATCGGGAGATCCGTGGCCAGCGTAGTGGCCTTCTTGACCAGCTGGCCCAGGCGGCACTGGTCGAAGGAGATTGCTGTCAAGGAGTTCTCCTCCATCCAAAGCTGCCCCTCCTCTGTGATCCAGAAGGATGAGCATTCCTTGGCTTTGGGCAGCGAGCTGCTCACCACTGGGTCCTCCGGGTGTTCCAGGAAGGACCTGGGCCCTGGCAGAGAAACCGCCGCTCGTGAGGCCCTTGCCAGGCTGGTGATGTACATCTGTCTCAGAATGAGGATGCTGTCATCATCAAGTTGAGTCTGGGCGGCCTGGTCCAGGTGTGGAAGGCCCCAAAGTGTCTCTGGA